TTTTTCACCAGTCTGTAGGTTGTCTTTTTACTCTTTTGGTGAAGTCTTTTGATGAGCATAAGTGTTTGATTTTTAGGAGCTCCCAGTTATCTAGTCTCTCTTCTGGTGTTTGTGCATTGTTTCTTATGGTTCATATTGTGTTTATGCCATGCATTAGGGCTTCTAGAAGATTAAAGTCTTGAATCTACATAGAGAGAAATTTTAAGGAACTCATTTCCTGCAAGCTGCTGATGCTGCTTCAGTGGAAACTCAGGCCCCACCCATCTATCACTGCAGCCCGAGGCAGGATTTTGTAAGGAGGCACAGAGGGTGAGCCTCAGAGAGCTCTGCTTGTTTACCCTGACCACATCCAGGTCAAGCCCTTCCCCTGTGCTCCCAGCAGGGCAGTTTTTCCACAGGTGTCACCAAATCCCTGAGTCAGACACTCATTGGAAAAAGCCACACGTCCTCTTGACTCTTGGAAATGTTGCCCTAAACTGAGGTTAAAGGCTAGAGAAGAGCCGCATGGATGCCCATGGTCCAGGGCAGGATTTGGTAGAGAATTCAATTAACAGTCCTAAAACTTGAAGGAGGTCCCTGGGGAGTTGTGGATGATCATTTAGGATTTTCAAACTCCTGACCTCCTATTCGGATGTCCTGCGTGGCCCACCTGTGCTTGCTTCTGTTTCTGGTAACAGGGTTGCTGCTGATGTCATCTGAGAGGGCTCATTCCAGGAATAGAAACAGTGCCAAGTCCTCAGGAGGTGAAATCTAGGGGCTCGGTCAGTCTTCTTGTCTATTTTCCCATATCTCCTGTGTGGGAAGAGTTGGTCTCCCTCAGCACAGTTGGGTTGGGTCCCCCTGTCCTCCCACCAAGAATGCCAGAATGGTGACCTGCAGAGTTCAGCGCTTTGCAGTGGCAGTGGGAAGGGTGAGGTATGGGTTTGCTTTTGGGTTTTTGGCTTGTTTCTTGCCACGTGTGGTTCCCTAGGGTGCAGGGCCTCATCCCTCATAGGATGACCTGAGCTCAGCTGTGGCAGGGCCTGACTTCCACTGGGAAGCTGGCAATGCAGAGGGAGACGTGGTAGAGATGGAGGTGGGCAGGTCTGCTGCCTACACTGTAGCGGTTCCAAGAAGGCTGCTCCCTGGAGGTCACAGGAGTGGACTTGTTAATACAAAAGGCTTCTCCCCAAAGTAGCATCTGGGCGAAAGCCTTCTCATGGACAGGTAACAGGCTGCAGATGTGGCTGTGACACAGCCCTGGCACCATCATCTTCCTCCCTGGGCCTACCCCTTCCTACCTGCCTGTGTTGAGGCACCTGGAGCCCCCACCTTCCTCTGGGCCTCCATGGGGTGGGGGCAGCTGGATGCGGGGCCTGGGGTACCATCTTATTTCAGTAAAAGGGTTTTCAGGCAAGACCCAGGCTGTGGGATAAAAGGCCATCTGTCCGTCCGGCGGTGCCCAGCCCCAGCTTTCCCCGAACAACATTCCTTTATGCAGCTCCCCCGCCTCCTGCAGCCCCCGACCCTCAGCACACTGCCTCCTTTCACACCACCTCTATGGTTGACTTGTTTGTTTGCGGAGCAGAGCGCAGGCTTTCTGTTGTTCTCCTCTCTTCTCTCCCCCAGTGCACCCTCCAAGCAAACCCTCTCTAGGGACATCAGGGCCTGGGGCAACGGAGGAGGGTTTGGGGCTAAACAGAGACCAAGGTTGAGGGCTTGGGAGCACCCCAGTGAGCCCTTGGAGAGGGAAGAGAAGCGGGCATGAAGGATGCTAGTAGGGGCAGCCCTAGAAGCAGGTTCCTACTGCCAGCGATCTCTTGAGAGGCCTTAAACGAATGACTTGGTCCCCCTTGCCTCAGTTTCTGCCACTGTTTCCTGTCATTCTCTCAGGGAGGGTTGTGTCAGTACCAATGGGATCCTGACTGCATAGGCTCTGGGGTAATGGCGCTCACAGTGGAGGTGGTAAGCGTCTCCCAGAAGCCACATGATGTTGGGGGTAAGGTGAAGAGTAGGGCAAGCTTGGCCGTTATTTCTCACTAAAGGGGGCTATGGTTTGCTTGGTCCCCAGCACAGCCTGCCTCTTGCACACAGCACTTCCCCATGAGGAAAACTGGGGAGTAAATTTTCAGGCCCAAAAGAAGGGTAGCAATGCACCCTGGCTGCTAGAGAGGAAATAGTGGGCTAGGAAAGCATGTACTGGAATGTGCCTCCCCTCTAAGAGCTAGCTGTGTGGACTGCCACCATGGGCCGGGGTGGGGAGGCTGTGCTGACCGCAAGACCCTGGCTTCATGCTGCCGCCGCTGCCTCCTAAACATGGAATGAGATGTGGACTGTTGTCTCCATACCTGTGGGATGTCTCACTTGCTTGTCCTCTCTGCTGGTAGAATTCCCTCTCCCCCTCCGTGCGTCTTGATCACAGGGAAAAACTTGTTCAGGCCTCTACACTGGGAAGGGAGACCCTGGAGTTAACATCCTTGGTACATGGCCTGGTCTCCCCCATGACCTTCGTGGATTTTGTCTCCTTTCTAGACCCACAAGGGGAAGAGAACCAGTAAAGATCAGCATCCACCATTCACTTCTGCTCCCTCCCACCCCACTTCCCCCTGAGGGCAGTCCCTGAGACTCCAGGCTGGAGTAAGGAGGAGGCCCAGTATTGCTCTTCAATGAGCCTTGCTGGGGCTCTGGTTCCCTTGTAGAGATGCAGGTGGGCAGGTCTGCTGCCTTCATTGTAGCGGTTTTAAGAAGGCTGCTCCCTGGAGGTCACAGGAGTGGACTTGTTAATACAAAAGGCTTCTCCCCAAAGTAGCATCTGGGCAAAAGCCTTCTCATGGACAGGGGACAGGCTGCAGATGTGGCTGTGACACAGCCCTGGCACCATCATTTTCCTCCCTGGGCCTGCCCCTTCCTACCTGCCTGTGTTGAGGCATCTGGAGCCCCCACCTTCCTCTGGGCCTCCGTGGGGTGGGGGCACCCAACCCAGTGCCTTGATGTAGCTGACCCTGTAGTTCAGGTTGCAGCCAGGCTCCCTGTCTGTGTTCCCTGCTCTGAGAATTGGGAGAACAAAATCCCACTCTCGCCCTATCCCTGCCCATCCTGGGCTCCTACCCTGTGGATCTATTGTGGGGCAGGAGACCTGCAGCTCTGCCAGAGGTTTCACACTGTGGACCAAGGGCTGAGTTTGTATTCAGACATGTCCATATGGCCCACATTGTTTGTCTGTGTATTTGTTTTAAATGTGAGTCACATTTTAAAATGTGGAGATTTTATATAAAATCTAGTTTTCTAGCTTTTCTTAAAAATCAGAAGGTCTGACAACACTGAACCCCAATCCTTACATTACTTGGGCCTGAGTTAGGATTGCCCCCTTATGACAGGATATGTCTCCTCTAGTTACCTAGAGTCCACTCCACTCCCTATTGCCTCCCTGATACAAGACCAAGTGACAATGACCTTGATTGCCACTCTCTGTACCAATGTCTCTAGCAAAAATTTGCCTCATGTTTTAAGGAAAATTAGAGCATGTATCTTTATTTGTGGACATAAAGAATATTCTTACATGTTTAATATACAGACAAAATCCGTCTTTGTTATGAGACCACACCCTGCCTCCTTCACTCACTGATGTCGCATGCCTAACCTCTGAGGATATAGCAGGAACTCCTGGTGCCTTTGCCAGAGAGAAGCAGCTTCCTTTTCTGGTAACCAAGTCCTCAAGTCACACAGCACGTTTGTTATGGAGCCTGGTCTAGAGCTGTGTCCCTTAGTCTAGAACTGAGTCTTGGCGTCTAGTGGTAGATAGTTGGCCCTGGATTCTCCCTCCCCCGAAAGCTGCCTTCTACGGGCTGCCTCCCTAGAGACAGATGTGTTGGGGAACTGACTGGAAACCTCAGAGATCTAGCAGGGAACAACTGGCTCCTCTGAGAGCTTTGTTCTGAGGATGCTGGACTCAGTGTGAAAGTGATGGGCGGGGGAGGGAACCCAGGAGAAAGGGCAGTGGTGGTCAGTGGGATCACCTCTACGAGAGGAGAGCTGCCACTTGGGATGACCTGAGATGAAATAATACTTCATAATCTGCCAGGAATTAGCACTGTGCTGCAAGAAGCGAGGGTTGGTGCTGCTGTCTTGCTGGCTTCTTTCCCATCTGGCTCCGGACTGGCTAGAAGAGTCTAATCAGTTGCTGACGAGTTGATCCCGACTCATAGTGACTGCATGTGCGTCAGAATAGAACTGTGCTCCACAGGCTTTTCTTTTTTTGTTTGTTTGTTTGAATTTTATTTATTTTGTTATTGTTGAGAATATACACAGCAAAACATACACCAATTCAATAATTTCTACATGTACAATTCAGTGACATCAATTGCATTCTTTGAGTTGTGCAACCATTCTTACCCTGCTTCTCTGAGTTGTTCCTCCTTCGTTAACATAAACTTACTACCCCCTGAGTTTTCTATCTAATCGTTCGAGTTGCTGTTGTCAGTTTAATCCCGTGTATGTAGTTCTTAAAAGAGCTTAGTGCTCAAGGCAGACATTCTTTACTAGTTAAGCTAATCTATTGTTTGGTTTTAAGAAGACTTTAGGGGATATCTTTGGTTTAGCGTTTAAAGATTATCTCAGGGCTATGGTTTCAGGAGCTCACCCAGCCTCCATGGCTCCAGAATCCATAGGTTTTCAATGGCTGATTTTTCGGAAGCAGATCCCCAGGCCTTTCTTTTGAGGAACCTCTGGGTGGACTTGAACCTCCAACCTTTTAGTTAGCAGCCAAGCGCGTTAACCATTTGTACCACCCAGGGACTCCAGGAGACTCTAAGGAGAACAGATTGCCCTCCTTGCCCACCACCGGATCACTCAGCATGGCCAGGGATGCTTGGCTGTGGCTGATTCAGCCAGTCTCCTTAGCAGAGCATATTGCCCTTTCCTCTTGCTTGACCTTCTTTTTCCAAGTAGACATAGACTGTGGAAGACATGGGAGCTGCTCTGTTCCTGCCTGCCCTGCCCACACTTTGGTGGCCTCTCTAGCACATCATAGATGCTCAAACATTTCTGGCCAGAATGGTTAGGGAAGAAAAGCAAGGTGTTAGAGCCTAAATAGGCCACCCATCTACTCATCAATGTAGGATTCAATAAGTATGTGAATACTAACCCAATGCTGGGCACTGGGGACCTAGCAGTAAGTAAGACAAGCAGAGTCCCTACCCTCATGAAGCTTACATCCATGCTTGGGAGGCATCCAACAAGTAAATGCTGGGCGCCACCCTGCTGAGACTTGCCAGGTTCCTTACCACACAGCCATGGGCCTGATCAAAAAAGTTCTCTAGCCTCATCTCCTGCTTGCCTTCCTGAGGTGGAGAGGTTAGGAGGGGCTAGGATATGGGGGATTTAGTCTTCAGAACCATTCTTGTTGCCCTAGGACAGCCTTGTGTCCCTCAGGTGGACCCAACACAGGTAACAGGTGGGCTGGACACCCCGTCAAGCCATACTCATTAATACTTGGGCTGATCATTCTTATGAATACTAGTATAAGCTTGATGACAAAATTACTCACTTCCCTTAACAAATACTAGAACATATTCAATCCAAAGCCATCACCCAGAACAGTTCTCAAACACTTGAAAAGAGCACTTTTCACTTTTCAGACGCTTTGGGGTTTTTAAACTCCCTTTGGCTTGCTTCCAGGATCTGGAGAGTCTTTTAAATAATGCATTGTGGAAGTTTCCAGTAATTTTTTTTTTTTTTAAGTCTTCTGAAGTTTGGGTTGTACCCTAGTGCCCAGGAGTGACCTTTACACATTTCTGATTCATGGATGGTGTTTGTGGAATTCAAGGGTGAGCCCAGCTCAACTATAAAATAAACATGGAGCGTGGAAGTCTGGAAAACACGGCCCAGATCAGTGTGTGGGTGCCGTGGCTCCTAGCAGTTTCTGGACACCCCCACCCCTGCGAAGTTCAGATGGAAGCAATCCCCAGAGTAGGAATGGGAGACCCTCTTCAGGAGGGTCTTTGTCTTGTCTACACGTGGAGAAAATTTTTAAACCTTATAAAATCTCGCAACTCGACTCTGGGAAAATAGTCATTCAAATATACTCTAGAGGACTTCAGCGTGTGTCACCCTGAGGCTCCATGTACCTCAGGGTATTTCTGCTGCTGGAGATATCCGTGGGATGCTTGCCCTGGCTGTCCTTGGAGTCTCCTTGCTTATTAGAGGTGTGTGAAATCTTGTGATAATAACCTGGGCTTCTGCCAGGGAGGGGTGTAGTCCTGATGAAGTCACCCAGAAAGCACCTTGCTTGTATGGTCAGTCTGGAAATTTATTTGTCAAAAGCCGTATCACTTACAACATTCCTTCCTGGTGGCCCCAAGACTTTCAAGTTGTGATTAAGCTGGAGCAGGAGAAGCAGGAAGGAGGAGGAGACTGTGCCTACCCAAGGGGTCTTTGAACTTCTGGTGTTAAAAGGAAAGAACTTCCTCTTCCCCTCTCCCTTCCCCTTTTTTCCTCATCCCCATGGGCAGTGGTCCCCAGTGAAAGTCCTCAGACTGGAGCTAGTCCATGATTCAAGGGAGCCCTCTTGGGAGAATCTCTGACTGCTCCGTGCTGGGCCTACAGGCCTGTGAACCACGTTCCTCTGCTTCCCTCATTTCACTGAGAATATTCCAAGTTGAATGAAAAAGTCTTAGGAGTGTGCTTTCCATTTTATACCAACATCTCTCTGTGAAACTGGATTTTCCAGTAACTTTTTAAATAAAAACTTAGATCAATTGAACATTTGATTTTTTCCCTGTTGCATGTCAATTATAGAGCCTCATATCAACAAACTTGAACCAAGAAAGCAATTATGCACAGTTCATACTCATAAAACAAAGATGTATGTTGTAATTTTTCTTCATGAATAAATATTTTAAAATAGAACCTATCTTTTTTTAAATGCCAATGTAAAGTTGCTAACTGCCCTTCCTTGGGAAGAACTGCCTTTATTCTGAAAGCATGTATTCCCTTCATATTTGGTATGAAAATTTCCTTTCTTTTATTAAATGACGCTGATGGTAATTTTTAAAAATATCTTTACTGGGCAAAATCAAATGTTGACAATCCCATATCAGTATCTGTCCCTGGTGGCGCAGTGCTAAGACCTCTGCTGCAAACCAAAAGGTCAGCATTCAGATTCACCAACCGCTCCTTAGAAACCCTACGGGGCAGTTCTACCCTGTCTTATAGGGTCTCTATGAGTCGGAATCGACTCGACGGCAGCAGGTTTGGTTTGGGTTTTGGTACTTTTAGTTTTGCTCGTGTCTGTCCTGTGTACTTGGCCAAAGGGCACTGAGACTCTATAATCCAGATCATTGGAATTTGACTCTTGTATCAGGCATGTCCTGTCCAGCCCAGAGTGGCATTCTGAGGTGGCATGCTTGGTGTCCTGGGTCACCTCTCTCAGTCAGAGGGCTATATTTACTCTCATACCAAGTGCTAGGCACATGTGCCCGCCCCATCCATTTCATATTCCCAAGGAGCATGAGCCCTGCAGAGTTTCAGGGCTCCACCCCCGATCACCAGGCCCTCCACACAATAGGAGTCTCCACAGGCCTTGGCTGCTTTCCAAAGACCAAGCATTGAAGCATGGTCTACTGAGGAAATAACTGGTGGAGCATAATGTCCCTGCCCTATTGGAATCTATAATATCATTGGACAAATAAGATAATTACCCAAACATGTGAAAACAACAAGAGGCAGGAAATTCAAACTGAGGCAGTAGGACACATAGTCTGATTTTACAAAAGTCTGAAATGAAGAAATAATTTCTGGCTAGAATGGTTAGGGAAGAAAAGCAAGGTGTTAGAGAAAATATTCCAGAGTCCAACTGCTGGATTCTGACTTCACCCTTCACTAGCGGTAGAAATGCTTCATGCCTCGGTTCCCTCATCTATCAAGTGACTACTTCATACGATTGTCAGGAAGATTAAAGATTAATGGGCACATAATAAACATTCATGAAATAATAACCTTCGTCATCATCCTGGACAGGGTGACATTTGAACAGGAAAAATAGAAGGCATGATAGAAAATGGCAAGTCATTCTTTTTGTCTAGAGGGAAAAATTGGGGTTAATCGAAGGGCATAACAGGAAAGGAGTTTGGAAGAAAAAGAGAAAAGACTTTGAATCCAGGAAGGTCAAGGATAAGCTGATTGACAGAGGATGACCCTATATTCCCTTTTAGGAATGCTGTATTGGAGGTGATGGCAGGGCTTTTGGGTCAGACTGTGATGTGGACTGTTGGAAACCTCTCCTGCTGTAAGGAGTGAGGCCAGCGTCAGAGAGAGAAACTTTTGAGAGTCTTCTGAACTGATGCTTCCAGCACATCATAGATGCTCAAACATGTGTATCAGTTGATGGATAAGTGAAAGCAGTAGATACGGGTGAGATCCCATTGGGAGGGGAGAATTGAGGGAAGAGGAAGGGGGCCATTATGATACTTCACCAAGACCACCGGCTCTTAGAGAGGAAGCCAGCATGAAGCTGGGGGTTTCTGTGCCCAGAAACCCTCCTCAATTTTCATTTTTCAGGCTTTTTCCTTTCCCACTACCTGCTGCTCTCCCACTTGTCACTACTCTGGGTGTCTCAGTCTTCATCCCCACATATTTGGTGGCCCTCCATTGAACAGGTCTGTAAGTCCAAATCACCTCCTAGACATACCCGCTCTCCACACCACACGAGCAGCAGCAGGCCATGAAGGAAGCTTCAGGTGGCCATAAGCTAAGTGAATGAGGCATATAGGATGGCAGCCAAAAGGACCAGTGAGAACTCAGTTCCCATGATTAGGGTAATGACATTCCATACAAGGGAGGCATGAGCCCTGGTGTGTTCTGCACTAGTCCCATCATACCTTGAAAGAGGAACTTGGACCAACCATCATGCTTAGGGACCCTGTTTTGTCCTAAGAGTATCCTGGGAACAGCAGTCTTGGCAGGAGGTAGGAGTATTGGTTGTCCTCAAATAATCATTGGCCTGTCAGATGAAAGAGAAAGGACCCTGTACAGTTCTGGAGTGATACCTGGAAACCTGGAGACAGCCAGGAATAAGGGAGAGTTTTCTAAGGACGGGCGTTATTAGAAAACAGCCTCGCATCCAGTAAGCAGAAACACGAATTGGAGAGATGAGTGCTTTGAGTCCAGTGCCGAGAGGCAATGTGGTAGATGCTCTCTCTTCCATTGCCAGTGGTTGTTTAGGTGGATGTTTCCAAAATAGATACATCTGTGTCTGACACTCAGTCTTTTTGTTTTGTTGAGAGTGAGATAGAGTTGCCTTGAGTGGGGGCATGCTGGGGTGTTTTCAGAGTAAATCAAAATGGGAAGGAACAAGATTATCAAGCTCCTGAGATGAGAAAAGGAAAAGACGTTTATGTTGGATTTTTAGGGAGTTTCACTATATGATGAGCTGTGCAGTCTCCTCTTCCTTGTTCTCAAGACAGCATACACTTTTTTTTTTCTTAATTTGAATATTAGCGTGGTGACACAGACTAAAACTACTGAGACACACAAACCAAGACAGGGCCACAAAAGTCCACTTTTATTTGGGTTACATGTTTTTTCCCAGAAAATGGCAACATGGTCACTGCCACCGTCGGGTTCTCTTGGGTTCATTTGGAAGCAAAAATGTAAGAATTATAACAGTAGAAATCCCAACTGGCTGCTCAGATAGTTTCCTCAGCCTCTTTCCAATGCCCCACTTCCAGGACCCCTCCATGGCCACCCAGCACCACGGGTTTCCTTAGTCATAGGTACTCAGCAGGCAGGCCCCATCAGCAAGGACTCTCCCCGCCCTTCCAACAGGGAAGCATGAGTTTCACTTATGTGCTGGCCTTCTCTCCCTGGCCTCACCCCGTGTGATGATAGAGCCAGCTCGGCTTGTGATTTTCCCAGCACATTCCATTTCCTTCTGACTTTACCTCTTTGCCAGTTTGATTTTACCTTGAGCCCACTTGTGCACTCTTGTGCCAGTTCCACCCCATGTGTGGCTGCTGACCCAGACATGGGGTTGTTGGAGGGACCATCTCCCTTGTTCTCTGCTTCTTTTTTGTGGGCAGCTCAAGGCCCCAGCCTGTGACCTTCGGGCTCTATTGAATTAAACAGGGAGGAGGGAGGCGGATAGTCACCAGGCGTGGCACAGTGATCCCTGCCAGGTGCCCTGTGCCGCCCTATGACTCTCTGTGCCTAGCACCAACCAAGGACCTGGGGTGAGACTGGCAGGGACCCCCTTTCCCTGAGCATCCCCACTAACTGCTCTCCTGTCCCGACAGCCTCTTACCCAGCTTCTAGACTCTCCCAGATCTCTCCGCCTCTTTGGTTTTGGCAGAAATCTTTTTTTAAGGGAGAAGTACAGAGAATAATGACACCCACATCAATGTCTGTGTGTTTTTAAAAGTGCTCAGTGTCCTCGATTTCCACCGACCCTGCCCCATCCATGGGGCTCGTCCCCCTCCCGGCTCCATCATCCTCTGGGGGGTGGGCCCAGGGCTCAGCTGTCTCCCCCACCCACTATAAGTAATCACCTTGTGTCTTCTTGTCTCTTTCCAGGGTTCCTTGGAGAATGGGGCTGTGGCCTCTGTGGAGACTCAGAAGACAGACCCTGAGATCGAACCAAGGTTTAAAGAGGTGGATTGGGAGAAGGTAGCTGGCGCAGGACAGAGTTGGGGCTACTGGGCCGAGGAGAGGGAGCGTGGTGCCAAAGGTTATGGTATTCATGACATGTACCCAGGAAGATCAGGAAGGGGAAGCAGGTGCCCGAGGCTCACAAACATGGTCTGGGCAGCACACCTAGGCAGGCGGCTGCAGTGGGTGTGTTTGTGAGAAGCTTAGAAAAATACAGAAGAGGAAGTCTCTGTCTGTTCAGGGCCAGGCCCCAAATACCCCTGGAGAAGAAGAGGTCTCCCACCAGGACCCCTGAAGCTGGGGACAGTGACAGGGTCAGCAGGCCCAGACTTGCACCTGCTTGGCTAGTGTGCTAGGTGGAGCTGTCCTAGGCATCAAACAGCAGAGTCACCTGCTGGTCCGAGGCCAGGCAGGAGAGAGGACTGGAGCCCTTGGCGATGTTTAGGGAAAGCTGGAGGGTCCTGCAGAGCCCTGCTACACACTCTCTTGGTATTGGAAGCTAGCATCTTACAGTTGTGAAGTAGACTCCATTTGTTCATTTTGTGAGCCCTAGAGGAGTTAAGCAGTCACAGGTCAAATGCAGCCACTCAGTGGGGGCTGGGGTAGAAGCAGCAATGCCGGGGGCTCTGGAGTGAGCAAGGCCTGGGTGCCATTTACCTCCAGCCGGGGTCATGGGACTGCCCCAGTGTCATGTTGCCATTTCCTCTTGGGATAGCCATGCAGTGTGCATGTCCATAAATGCCCAGCCCGGGTGTCCTCTGTTGGGCCTGTGCAGGACACCTGGGGCACAGAGGGTCATAGGACAGGACCCTGCACTTGGGGAGCCCAGGCCTCAGGAACCCGGAGACGGTGACTGTCATACAAGGATTGACACCACCCCTGGGAGAGCCCAGGAGCCCGTGGCAAAGGACACCTCTGGATGCCAACTAGAGAGGGCTGGGTGAAGCTGTTCTGTATTCTGTGCTCTTCAGAGAGGCCACATCACCTCTTGACCCATCAGTTGGCAGCCAGGAGAAATGAAGGTGAAGTTTGGCCCCCAGGTAACCAAAAGGAGAAGAGAAGGCCAGAGAGAGGAAATGGTGTGCCTCCCAAAGGGCTCACCGGAACCTGGTTCTGACCCTAAGCTTGGCTGCAGTTGCTCACTGCCAGGGCTGGAAATGGATTTGCCCAACCAGGGATCAAGGCTGCGGAGCCTTGGTACAAGTGGCAGATTTTCCAGAAGTCTTTGGGGACTTGCGCATCCTCTGCACGGGAGTGTTGGTGATGGAGACAGCCAGCTTGAGTAGGACAAGGACCCCAAAAACTGGTGGAGCCAGGACCTTGCCATGGTTAAGGAAGAACTGCAGAGGGAGAAGAGGGGGCTAGGGAATGAGGAGGGGGCCAGACAGTGAGCTGGGCGTGTGTCTGGTTGGAACTGTGAGTGGGCAGTGAATTGCTTGAAAGGAAAAGCAAGAGAGGGCTTAGCTTAGGGGTTGAATGTCGGAGAGAGCTGAGCCTCACTGGGTGAGTTTGGGGCAGCCACTGGGGCAGAGTGGCAAGGAAAGGACCACTGGGTAGGGGGTGGGCATCTGTCCCTAAGGCTGGCTTTGGACAGGCAGGTCCAGCATTGCCACCCCTACTCTGGGGAAGGCTCTGCCCACAGGGTCCCTGAGCTGCAGGTTCCGGGCTGACTCTGGCCCTGCCACTGTAAGTGGTGCCGGGAGGTTCAGAGCCCACACAGTGCAAGACCACCACAGGGGAGCTCCCAAACCCCACCCGTCAGGGGACCACACTCAGGAGAAAGAGTGCAGCTGCTCCCTGCAGCCCACTCACCTTCACTGCCTCTCTCTCTCACTTACATTTTCTCTCTCCCCCTCCCTTCTCTCCCATGTCCCTGGCTGGCCAGACAGAGAGGGAGGGGCAAGGGCTGAGCCCCGAGCGAGTGTGGAGACTATTCTGGCCAGGAACTCCCACCACACTGGGGCCCATGCAGGTCTGCCTCAGTGCTGGAACCTGGGCTTCCCAGGGTGGATGAACAGTGCTTCTTCTCTTGCTTGCTTCTTTTTTTTTTTTTT